CCTCGGTCGTTCTCTCCCCCCGCCTCCCGCCTCTGCCTCGGCCCCTCGTCCTCGCCCTCGCCCTCGCCCTGCTCACCGCACCCGCCCCCCCCCCCCCCCCCCCGCGAGGGCCTGCCCCCCTGGAGGCCCCCAGAGAGGAGGGAGGGAGAGGAAGAGGGAGAGAAAGAGGAAGAGGGAGAGGACGACGAAGAGGAAGAGGGAGAGGACGACGAAGAGGAAGAGGAAGAGGAAGAGGAAGAGGAAGAGGAAGAGGAAGAGGGAGAGAAGGAGGAAGAGGGAGAGGACGACGACGACGACGACGACGAACACGAGGGAAGACGCCCCGACACGACGTGGAGGAGACTGTCACACTTCACGGCTCTCCAGAGCCTCGGGGCACGAGGTATGTTTGACTACCTACCAGACCACCCCAACCCAACCCGAAGACCCGAATTTGACCAGAATTTCGGGTTGGGGGGGTACGGATACCATGTGTTTTTTCAACGTTCCCCGACCCCCCCCCACTGGAAATGGAGGGCAAATTGGGGCCTTCGGGTTGGGTTGGGGTGGTTTGGTGGGCGGTGAATGTTAGTTTATGGCTCCCTGTGCGATCTTCGAACAGTCGCAACCTCCGCGGGCTCGGGTGGCACCGTGGCGGGACCTGCCGCAGGCAGCTGAACACGAAGAGTTGGGCGCTAAGGGGAAAACGATGGGAGGGGCAAAAGAGGAGGAGTGCAGGCAAGGGAATCAGGGGCAATCGTAGAATGCGCCGACGGCGCCTTGCATACCGCGAACCGCGCCAAGTGGCGCCCCCTGAAAGCTGCCGCCGAGGAGGAATGCAGGACGTGAACAAGAAGGACGAGGACGAAGACGCCGACGAGGACGGCGCTGGGGACGGAGGCCAGTAGCAGCGCACCCTCGGGCGAATCGGCATCCTGCTGGGGGGGAGGTGTGGGAGGGGGGAAGCCAAACCGCCAGAGTCTGAGCCAGAAAACCCCTCGAGCCGACGTAGCTACGCAGGAGGAGGAGGAGGAGGAAGAGGAGCAGGAAGAGGAGGAAGAGGAGGAGGAGGAGAAGGAGGAGGCCCCGTCGAGAAGAGGCCCCATGGAAGAGGAGGGCGAGAGCGGAGGACCCCATCCTCCCTCATCCCCTCCCAAGAGAGCAGAAGAACCACTATAATCCGCCACCGTTGGCTTCTGTACTCTCTAGAAGGCCCCCCCCTCCCCAGGACTGTCGCATGCATCGCCCCTTCCCAGGGCCACGGCCCCTTGTGAAAAGGAGGGGCCCGAGCTCCCGAAGCCACACGATCCCTCGTAAGAGACTGCAGTCCGGCTGTTAAAAAAAAGAAACGCTAAAGTAAGAACGAAAGCTGGGTGCACGATGGCTCGGGCAACAACCACGGCATGGACTGAGAAACATCGAACCCCTTCCGAACCCAAACCGGTCCTCATCTCAGCGTCTTGGCCTTATGGCTCCGCGATCCTGCGTTTCAGGGAAGGCAAACAAGAAACGATGGGCTCGCGCTCCCGAGCTGCCGTGACGGCCGAGGCAGGCAGCCAAGGCCGCTGAGATGGCCCAGTGATGCCTCGAAGGCGGCCCAAGATGGCCCCGGGGTGGCCCAAGACGCAGTCGAGACGGCCCGAGAGGCCCCGAAGACAGCCCCACAGGGCCTCGAGAGGACACCCGTAGGCTCCGAAGATGTCATGGTGCTCGGCGGCGCCGACCGCAAGGCCTTCGCAACCATCGGACTGCTCTGGCTCTTCGAAGATCCGGGCGGCTTCACCTCCCTTGCGCTCCAGACGGCCGTCGAAGCCTCCAGGACGACCCAGGAGGGCCCTAGATGTGCACACGGCACTCCGGAGCCGCAGGCCTCTGCCGACGGGCAGGGGGACCCTGGAGGCCCTCGGCCCAGAGAGAGTCTGCCGATCCACTCCTCGCCCCTCCACCTGTGGGAGCAGGCGGCAAACGATGACAGAGCGAAGCACCCCGCGCCTGCTTGCAAGAGTGAGAGGGCCAGCGCGGGGTGGGTCGCGGGGTGGGTCGCGGGGTGGGTCGCGGGGCGGGTCGCGGGGGGGGTTCGTGAGGGGGGCCCGCGGGCAGAGACGACGACACCAAAAAACAGCAAGCGCACGCCGGCTTCCTGAGCCCCCTCCAGAGGGGCGAGATTCCCCGTCGCACCCCACGGGCGGTGCGGTGCGCAAGGGTTTCTGACGCCCCCTTCTGGGGATGGGGGGGGAGCACCGCTTCGCACCGCACCGGCCTCCGGACCGGCCTCCGGTGGGAGCTCATTCGACTGCCAGATCCCGTCGACGCGGGTTAGGCGCTTGCTAGCGCCGAATCCTCCCAGGCCACGTCGTCCTCACGCAAGCTCGGCATCGACCAAACCCTGAATTAAGAAGCCCTACTGGAGAAACCTTTACTACAGAATTCTCACTCAGAGACCTTAGCCAGGATTCCCCTCTGAGGAACCATTACCACCGAATCCTGACTTTGAGACCTTAGTCAGGAGTCCATTCAGAGGGACCCGTACTACATTATCCGTATTCAGAGACTTGAGGCAGGCATCCTTACTCAGAAAACCTCACTTAATAGTCCTTCCTAAGAGAGACCTATAAACCGAATAAAGAATCTTTACTACATGACACTTAATCAAACAAACTTACTAAAATAGCTTTAGTGAATAATCATTGCTAAGCGGAAAATATTTAAGAATGCTTACGCAAAGTATATCAGTACATCGTCCTTCCTACGGGGATCTGAATGGAGAAACTTCATCCAGATAACCTGAATGCATGTTCCTACATACGGCATATTACTGAAGAAACCTTACTCAGAAAACCTTGATGAAGAATCCTTACTCAGGAAACCGGAAAACAGAATCCCGACCAAAGGAATATTAATGAAAATAAGCCCTTACAGAAAAACGTTGGTGGATATTCCTTCCATCGAGAAACTTGGTAAATATCCGTACTGAAAGGAAAATGTGGAAGAATCCTCACCAAGAGAATCTGAATGAAGAACCCTTACCAAGGGAACCTTACTGACGAATCCTTACCAAGGGAAGCGTATGTAATAATCCTTCTTATTTGGAGAACCTTACTCAATAAGATTTACGACAGAAGCCTTATTGAATAATCCTTGCTAGAAGAATTGTCCCCTGACCTACGAATCCGTACTAAAACAAACAAGCCGCATACGAATGGAACCTTACTGGTGAACGGATCTGTACCAAGGAAAACTCACTGAATCATCATTACTCAGAGAACCTTCATGCCTAATCCTTGGTGAAGGAAAATGTATGAAGAAGCCGTACTGAGGAAACTTTGCTGAATAATAATTACGAAAAGAACGTGACTCAATAACCCTGACGAAAGGAACCTGACTGAACGAGCCTTTAAAACAAACTGAACACAAAATCATGACTAACGACACCTTACTGAAGAGTCCTTCCGAAGAGAGACCTCGTACAAATCCTTACTACGGGAACCATACTGACTAATCCTTACCAGGAAAAGCTGAATAGAGAGCCCTTACTAGGGGAACTGAGTGCAGAGTCCTTTACGAAGACAAACGTTAACCCATAATCTCTGCGAAAGTTGATTTACTGCAGAACCCTTCGGAAGGTAATATCAGTAAAAACTCCTTACGGAGGAAGCGTTGCTAACGAATCCCTCCAAAGAGGACCTTCATCTACAATCCTTACTTAAGGACCCTTACTGCATACCCCTTACTGACAGAACCTGAATAAAGAACCGTTGCGAAGGGAGCCTTCCTGAATAATCCTTCCCAAGGGGAAGTTACTGAAGAATTCGTTCCACGGGGGCCCTGAAAAATAATCCTTGCTAAGGGAACCTTGCTCAAGAACCTTTACTTAGAGAGCCCAGATAAATAATCCTTACTAAGGGAACCTTACCCGGGGGATCTTCCTGAAAAATCCTTACGAAGAAAACATTAGTAACAAGTCTTTGCTGCGGGAGCCTTGGTGAATCATCTTCTAAGGGTAACCTGAGTGCACAATCAATACATGAATGCGAATTAACAACCCTTACTAAGGGAACCTTCGTGGATAATCCGCACTAAGAGAACATTGTTCAAATTAGCCTGGCGGAGGACCCAAACATATGCAGTTGTGAAACACGCAGTTGTGAGCATCGTCTTTGGTGGAGCTCCTACGGGGCCACGAAACGTGTGAGGGGTGTGCCTAAATGGGTGGCGGGGACGCACGCGGGCCGCGCCGGAACCTTCGGTGGCGCTCCTATGGGGCCACGAGAAGTGTGAGGGGTGTGCTGACATGGATGTCGGGGGCGCTTATGGACTGTGCAACTGGGACCTTCGGTGGAGCTCCCTATGGGGCCACGAAGCGTGTAAGGGGCGTGCCGAAATTTACCCGAATCCTCCGGTGGAACCCACTTGGGCCACGAAACGTGTGAGGGGTGTGCCGAACTGGACCCGAGGCCTTCGGGCCTCGAAGCGTGCGAGAGGTGTGCCGAAATGGGCCCGAAGCCTTCGGTGGAGCCCACTGGGGCCACGAAGCGTGTGAGGGGTGTGCCGAAATTGACCCGAAACCTTCTGTGAAACCCACTAGGGCCACGAAGCGCGGGAGGGGTGTGCCGAACTGGACCCGAGGCCTTCGATGGAGCCCCCTGTGGACTTGACCCGAAACCTTCTGTGAAACCCACTAGGGCCACGAAACGTGTGAGGTGTGCCGACATGGGTCCGAAACCTTCGGTGGAGCCCACTGGGGCCACGGAGCGTGTGAGAGGTACGCCGGAATTGACCCGACTCAAACCCACTGGGGCCACGAAGCGTGTGAGGAGTGTGCCGAAATTGGCCCGAAGCCTTCGGTGAAACCTACTGGGTCCACGAAACGTGTAAAGGGTGTGCCGAATTAGACCCGAGGCCCTCGGCTGAGCCCCCAGTGCGGCAACGAAGCGTGAAACTGGCCCGAAATCTTCGGCCTCTATGGGACCCCATACAGATCCCGTACGTCCTGTACGGGACCCGATACAGATTCCATACGGCCTCGCAAGGGCCCCCCGAGCAACCGGCCCCCAGTAGTGTCCTTGTGAGCAGCAACAACAGCAGCAGCAGCAGGCAACAACAACAGCAGCAACAACGACATCAACAACACCACCACCAACAACAATAACAACCACAACCACACCAGCAACAGCAACAGCCACAAGAACAGCAAAAGCATCAACACTAATCAGTTAAAGACTGTTCGCTATCATCTGCTCGTGTGCCATCCAACACGTGTATCTCAAACCCTCGATGCCCTCCCTCCTCGACTTCGATCATGCCCCCTTGGGGCATATCTTTTTTACCTGCCACGTGCATTTGGCGCACTCCCTTAAAACAGGGGAAGAGAAGACGGATGGAAGGAACCAGGGGGAGGGAGGAGGATGAATCACGAGAGAGATTAGCAGGAGGGGGCTTAGTAGCAGAAAGACAAGCAGCAGAACCTGACGGGCGGGTCGGACGGGCGGACCCGAACGGGCGGGCAAGGCAGTGGACCCAGACGGTCGGGTCGAACGCGCTGGTCGCAGAAGGGCCAACCTTCACCATGCATAGAAAGTCTCGAGCGATGGATAAAATCACTGGAAAATCCCAGCGAGAAGCTCTCGAGCGCTGCGCAAGTAAATCATGAGAAAATCCCAGGTGAGAGCGTGATTCCTGAGTGTTGGGGGACACGCGCTGCAATAAATTGCGAGGACGTACCACGCGAGAGCGCGCGTCCTTCACACATTATGAGGAAGTCCTGCGCGAGAGCATGGATTCGAAATAAATTGTGTGGAGGTACCCAGCGGGAACCGTTGTTGACAGGGTGCGAGCCCCAGGAGGAGCAGTGTCATTGAAAAATCACCAAGTGCACCAAGGGGAATCTTATTTTCTCCAGAAGTGAAACTTCAACAACAGTCCGCAACGCGGGACCCCACTTCAGCCACGCACCCAGGGACAATGAACGACCGTTCGGCCCCCTCACCCTGGCAATAACAACTCGGAAGTCCGCCCAGATTCCAGGCATCGGCGCTGGACCCCCTTCCCTGGCGCGCGGAGCGCGCCAATGGCCGCGCTGGAGGCGCCGCCAGGGGCCCCCGGTGACAATCCGAGGAGCCCGCCCGGAACTCCGAGCTGTTGTGCTTGTCTTAAGTCGAGCCTGTCCTCCTAAAGGTGAATTTTGGACAAAAATGAAAAATACTCCAAAATACTCCCAAATAACGAAAATGAGTCGAAACATCGTCGCCTGGCTATTTTGTTGACTATCCTTGAACATTCGCCCTGTAGAGGGACAGGCCCGACTCAATGCTTGTGTCATCGTTCGTTCCCCGACTCGTCGCCGCGGGGGGCTCGGTCTGCGCGCCCGTGCCGCTGCGCCGTGCCGCGTGCTGCGCCGTGCCGCGTGCCGCTGCCGTGCCGCACGCCGCGCCGTGGGCGCCCTGCCGGGCCGCGAGCCGCGGCGCGGCAGCGCCGCGGCGTGCGGCGGGATCGCGCCGCTGTCGACCCCGGTGGTGTCTCCAGGCGCCGCGGGGATCGGCCAACGGGGCGCACAGGGACATCCTAAGACTACACGTCCGCCCTGGAGGCGCGCGTCCGACCCGAACATGGAGCATGCCCATCTTGTAGCACATCGTTTCTCGGGCGGTGTGGCCAGAAAGCGCCCGCCACGACGTATGTACCATAAGATTTCTCGGTGCGCGCGTCGCCAGTGGAGGGGCGACGAACACATAGTATAAGTATGTTGGGGGGACGCCAGGTCAACCTTCGGAACGATCGGCCGCTTCCAAAGCGTCGGATCGTGCAACTCTCGCCCGATGCTGGGTCGCCGCTGGTCGACACGACGCGAGCCGACCGCACCAGCGACCTCGGCAGCGTCCTCGGGCTGGCCGCGTCCTGTCGGACGATCTGGCTCACGCTTGCAGCGTTCACAGGTTGTCCCCTCGGACTATCGTTGTGCTGGCAAGCGCCTCGTCTCCGGCGCTTGCGGCGTATGTTCCCCGCTTGACCATCCCCGTGCCGTTCGGGGGGACGAGCTGCAACAGTCGGCGGCAAGCCCAGGAGAAGGCCTTCTCAGAAGGCTCGGAGGTCCCCCGGCCTTCTCACCCAAAGGCGCCTTCTCAAAAGGCGCGAGGGCTTCTGAGAAGTCCCGCCGCCTTCTGATAAGGCCTTCTCCTTCTCGCTTCCACCCCGCGCTCGCCACCGAAACAGTGGCCCTGTCCGCCTGGACCGACTCGCCACTGCGCTCTGCCAGAACAGTCGGCGCGGCGACGCACGGCGACGCACGGCAGCAGGCGAGGGCCAGGAAGGCTCCTCCTCCAAGGCGGCCTCAAGGCAGCCCCGAAACTCCCTGCGCTCCCCCCCGTGGCCCCCCCGAAGCCCAGGAACGCTTTTGCAGGAACCCCCCTCCCGGGTTCCTGCAGAGACGCTTCTGGAAGCCCGGCCTTCCTGGAACCCTCGCCAGACGCCGCCGACCACCCCCCCCCCCTCCCGACACCCTCCTTAGAACCCCCGATCCGCAACACACCCTCCAAGAGCCGTCCTGCTCGGACCCTCTTCCTGCGGCCAAAGAGCCACGCAAGTCGACCGCGCCTCACAAGCACATACACGTGGCAGGCTGGAACACCGCCACTCACTCCCACCGATCCAATCCCACCCAGGCACACTGCCTACTCCTCCTGCAGCCTCCACGCTCAACCCGATGCCAGTAGCCCCCTTCTTCGACTCAAGTGCTTCCTCCTCCGCCCCCGGGCCTCCCTCCTCTTCCTCCTCCTGCCGCACCTGCAACCCCTTCCCCTTCTCCGTAGGCCCCCCTCCTCCCCCTCCTCCTGCCGCACCTGCAGCCCCTTCCCCCCTTCTCCTCCCCCTCCCGCCTCCCAGGGACCTCCAGAGCAGGGACGGGGCGCAGCCAGCCACGCCGGCGGTGTTTCTCCCGCGCCGCGAGGAGTGGACACGCCCAGACCTGTGAAGACGTCGGCTTCCCGCGTCGCCAGGGGAGTGGACACGCCCGGACCTGTCCAAAGGGGGGGCCCCGTGCTCCGCGGGGGCTGGCACGCGGCGCGCGGCGCCCGGGGCTCCGCCGTCGCGCCCGCGAGGGCGGCGGGCGCCGAGGACGCACGACGACGAGCGACGGACGACGGGCGACGGAAGACGTCCGTCGACGACGTTGACGTTGACGTTGACGTTGACGTTGACGCTGACGACGACGACGACGACGACGACGACGACGACGACGACGACGACGACGAAAACGACGACGACGACGAGCGCCGAGAACGCACGACGATCACGACGACGGACGACGGAAGACGGACGACGGCGTCGACGACGACGGCGGAGGACGTCCGTCGACGGCGACGACGAGAAAGAGAACGAGAACGACGACGACGACGAGCGCCGAGGACGCACGACGATGACTATGACGGGCGACGGACGACGGACGACGGACGACGGACGACGGACGGCGGACGACGGCGTCGTCGACGACGACGACGACTGGAGACGGCCTTCAAGACGACGACGACGACGACGACGACGACGACGACGACGACGACGACGACGACGACGACGACGACAACGGGAGGCGGCCTTCAAGCACGCACACCCGCTCCTAACAAAAAGAAATGGAGCCACCGAATCCTTCTGCCGCGCGCCTCCTACCAGAGAAGACGGCCGCGCGCGCGCGCGCGTCGCGCGAGCCGAGCGGCACGCCCACTGCGCGAGGCGGCCTGCGGGCACGCGCTCTGCGGCGGCAGGCCCTCTCCGAGAGCAGGCGAGCGGGGGAGCCCACGGCGAGCAGGCGAGGACACGGCGACGGGAGTGCCACGGGGGGCCACGCTGCCGAGCTCCGGTGCGGCACCGCGCCGCGAGGCGGCGTGCCGCTCGCGGAGGCGGGGGCCCTGATTAGCGCTGCCCGTGGCGCGAGGCGGCCCTGAGAGGCAGGCCCTCCGCGGGGACGGGCCGTCGGAGAGCAGGGGGGGGGGAGAGAGACACGGAGGGCACCCGAGAGGCACGCGGGAGGGAAGGAGGGGGGCACGGCGAGAGGAGCGCCAAGCCTGAAGGAGCAGGACGAGGCCAGGTCGGAGACAGAATCGGGTCGTGCGGAGTCGAAGAGCTCTGAGGGATGGCGGGCCTGCGTTGAGGACGTACCGGGCGCCGCGGCCGTTCCAGAGCGCGTCCTGGAACACTCTAGGAGCGATCCAGAACGTTCTGGAGCGATTGCGCACTTGTCCCAGGTATGCCTGCAGGATCGAAGATCGAGAATCGAAACGCTCTCCAGTTGTCGAGCCTTTCTGAGCCTCCGGGGCCCCTGCGACCTCAGGAGCCCTGAAGACGAAGTCGCTTCGGACGACGTCGCTTCGGACGACGTCGCCATTGTCGCAGTTTTCGTTGTTGCTGCCGTCATCGTCGCCGTCGTGCGTCGTTGTCGTCGTCGACCTCGTCGTCTGCGTCGTCGTCGTCGTCGTTGCCGCTGCCGCCGCGGTGAAATTAGTCGTCGCCAGCGTCAGCGAGACAGGACGAGGATGGAGGTATTCGGTCGTTCTGTCTGGCCTCTTGTCAAGCCGCTGGAGGCCTCCAGGGCTTGTCTCTGGGCCTCCGGGGCCCCCGGGGGGAAACGATCGCATTCCCCAAGGAGTATCGACACAGTCGTGGGGGGACGAAAAAGCACCGATGCCGCTGCTCCCCGCACCTCTCCAGGGTGCGTTTGGACGGCAGAGATCGGCAGGCAGATCGGATGGCCTCGGAATCGACGCCCAGAGGCCCGAGCCGAGGCCTGCACGAGGAAACCCAGACCGAAGTCGGAATTCGGAGCCGAATCGAATCGAAGTCGAGGTCCCCTGGATCGAATCGATTCGGATGGACAGGGTCGGAATGGCTCCTGCAGGGTAGCGGCGTCGGTGCCTCTTCGACCTGTCAGCTCTTGCGTACGTCGAGGTCGGGCAGGTCCCCCTACAGGCGGATTCTGGAGGAAAGGTTAGAGCCACTCACAACATACGCCAGAATGGTCCAGGAATGCTCGACA